TCAGGGCCCCAATTTACTAGCTCTAGCCCCCAATTTTTTATGTATGAAACAAAACTCTTTGTCATGAAGTTTTCATGTGGCTAAGCACATTAACTACTCAATAGTGCTCATTCTTAGCTATAACTCTGCTGTGCCTCATTCAACAACTTGCTCCAGGTAAAATGATACCACACTCCCAACTGGAAGTAGACTGCTCCCTCATTAAAGGCCTAATCAAGGTGAAAGTAGCCTTTCATTTCCTGTGATGTTCAAAGGCCAGAGAGTTCGTTACATACCCTAGTTGTTGCCTATTTTTAATTGTTGAGTATTTTTATTGTTGCAGAGTACTTGATATCATGGGACAGTTACATCAAAGAGCCATTGCTCTGGCCATGTACTAATATATACTACAAATATATTCTGTATGTGTCATACATTTTCCTTTCTTAAGCTACTTCCTTAAGTCTCAAGTCTTATGGTTAGGTGGCCATCCTGAGCATACATCACCTGGTTGTATTTATACTTAGAGTCTGCGTCTGTCCGCAGGGTACACTAGAAGATGCTCTGGAAATGTAGTATGAGTCCCGACTCCCCAGAGAAACAGTATGGAACAATGCTATAAATTTAGCTGATGCGGCAGAACCATTTAGAACCCATTTCTTTGGACAGTGTTTTTTTTAAAGATTTACTTATTTATTACATATACACCAGATTGAATTGTAGATGGTTGTGAGCCACCATGTAGTTGCTGGGAATTGAACTCAAGACCTTTGGAAGAGCAGTCAGTGCTTTTAACCTCTGAGCCATCTCTCCAGACCCCTTGGGCAGTGTTTTAATCTATTACCATTTCTCTCTTTCATCGCTAGTTAGATACTAGTGATTGCGTCTTGGAACCTGATGTGTTGAGGTCATTAATTCTGCTCTATCCTGACTGAGTAGAGAATTCTTTCCTTGGACTCCTATAGCTTCTCTTGTGCCCATGTGAGGTTAACTACTTTTATAGAGGATGGATGCACTCAGTGAGAGTCATAAAGCCTGGCTCACTGCTGGCTGTACACAGAAAGTGCCCAAACAATCCAGGAAAGACCAGCATCCCTGATATTAGTGGGCCACTTATGACCAGGAGTCTAGCACACTAGGTGCTGAGCAGGTTTGTAATGTCCTACTGACAATTTTATTATTATTATTGTTATTGTTATTATTATATAAACCACCAACATTCCATCAATTTTTAAAAAGCAAATTCTACTGGTGATATCATAAGTAATATTTCTATAATTCACAGCAACAACCTGCTACTAATGTTTTTTTCATTATATAAACCATCAACACTCCATCCATTTATCAAAGGCAACCTCTACTGACGATATTGTAAGTAATACTTCTAAAATTTACAGAGGCAAACCCTATAATTTCAGGCTATTTAATACATATACAAGAATTACATGCTTAAAAATTAGTCATAACCTCTTTTTCTCCATTTTATGTTGCATTTTAGAATCCAGTTTTCTGAGATACTGTTCAAACTGAGAACATTAATGCAAAATATCAAACAAATTAAGTCCTTATTTGTGGTGGTATAAAATATATCATAACTTCTTGCATTTTCTATAAATAACGAAATAAATGACATAATATAAATGAACTAAAATTGACTTTCAGGTATTACTATTGTGTGTGTTTTATTCTTTGATGCAGTAAATGCATCTTGGATTTTTCTCTTATCATGTGAGTTCATATTTCCAATAACTTTGAATCACAGATATTTTCTGTAAATTCACTTTAAAAGTTACTTATTCTCTTGAAGAAATCAGAAGTATACTTGTTAAGTGTTCCATCTCTTGATCAAATGTGTAGAGCAACTCATAAAGCAGCTGCAAGATTTCCATTAGCCTGCCATGTTTCAATGCCCCAAGCCTTTCCACCCTCACCACCCATCTAGACTGCGTCTTCCTACTCTTATTGGGCATACTCAGAAATTCCTAATTGACTCTGTATGACCAAGTGTTTATTCAAAGTGATTTAAACTGATTTTTTGCTGGTACTTACCAATTTGCTGTTTTATACCAAGAGCTCATATTGCTATTCGATGGAAAGATGTTTATACAGAGAATTTGCCAATGTTAAATATTCTGCCAAGTGAAGGAAGTATAAGTTTTGTTGAGTCAAATTCTGCTCATGCTAAGTGTTTACCTGAGTCCCATGGTGTCCCATGGATGTATGCACATCCACAGGGATGCCTGACTCCTACAGTGTGTCATACATACAATGGCATTTCCTGACTCCCACAGTGTGTCACATGTATGTGTGCATGCCCACAAGGCTTCCTGACTCCCACTGTGTGTTGTGAATGCATGCACACCCATGAGGCTTTATAGATAACACCCCATTCATTGTAAGCTTGATAAAATATGAACAAAGGGTCAGCTCTGCCTTTGGTTCAGCTTTCAAAGCAAATAATTATCCATCTGCTTATCATGCTGACTCATATAACATGCCATCTTATTAAGACCAATTGAGATGGTTTTTAGTTGCTTTGATAATTTGACTACCGTATACAATATTCAAAAACATACAGTTTGGCAAATGATACCTCCTGAATCATAACTTCCCAGAACATACTGATAACTTTGTATGTTCAAATGAATCCCTCTTGAGGAGTTTTCTGGAAAAAAAACCTGGCTGAATAAAAAAAGTCATGAGTTGAATTTTGTTTAAAGATTTTAAGTACCTGGCTATATGCCCATTTGATTAGCTTGGGAAATACATCAAAAACATTTAGGTACTTGTCTGTCTTTCAGAAGTCCAGCTCCAAGTCGAAATCAGCATGACTTCTGTTAGTTATGAAAGCAGTTAAAATTTGGTAGTAAGTAAACAAAATTACTTAACAGAAATGTTCTTTAAGTAATTTTTCAGAGTTCGTGGCTATAGAATTGTATAGTACTAGCTGAACTAGAGAACTTGGGTTTATTTTGTTTTTCTTTTTAAAATTATTTTCTAATTCATGTAATTCTCAGGAGAAATTAAAAATAAGATCAATTAACATTATAGCCAGATATGAATTTCCTATGTCAGTCTGGTATAGTGAAATGTTTACAAAGTGATATTTGAATTTAACATCTATGTTATCTATACACAAAAACTGTCCAGAAAGGCATGGCGGCTGATTCTCAGGCCTACTTGTGAGGTTGGCCCATCGCCACTACCTAGGAACATGGTCTTGGAGTAGGTTTCCAACCCCTCTACACCTAGAGTGCTACTCACTGAGCCTGTGAGCCTTTTGAGGGTTTGAAATTTTGGAACATGCCAAGCAGAGGCCTGCTGTGATCCACTCCCACCCAATCCCTGAAAGACAAGCATCTAACATACTTCCCTTGTTAGCATTCCAGATGCAATGCTACCTTTGTCATCTCAGCTTAGTCTCTGTGGCCTGAGCAGCAGCAAGTATGTCCCCCCTATCGTTCAAAGGCAGATAGAAGTTCAGATGAAGGTTCTGGCTAGTTCATGTTTTGAAGAAGGCTCCCTTCCTGCCTTCTTGCTGTGTACGTACATGATACAGGGAGAAATCCATAAATTAATAAGGACTTAGTCTTTGTAACATGCTCCCCTAATCCCTCTGTCACCGGCAAACTGAGAGTGAGGATCTCAACAATGCATTACAGGGTGTCTGTCACACCACTGCTGGAGGAGTGAAGGACATCTGGTGTGACTTCTGGAAGGAGGTGGCAGGGCTTTTGTCTGGCTTTTCCAGAGCTTCTCTTTTGCTGCTTTTGCATGTGTCCTTTGTTGTGATATGGTGGAGCAGTGTGCTAGACCCTGTGGGTTGCCTCATGAGTCATCAACAGTAGAGCTGTGTGAGACTCTGACACAGTAGCTTACTGATCCAGAGGACAAGGGAGCCCAATGCTATTGCTCTGACATCCTCTGCAGGACAACTTAGATAGGACAGAAACAGCATGACTTTATATTTTGTTCACAATAAGTGAGGATAACGCTTTCAAATAATGGATTAAGGAACACTTCCTTTAAAGTTTCAAGTTAACCAGACTTGGATTCACCCACCTTGAATGCCAGAATTTCATCAGCCAAATGGAGGAAGATCACAAGTTCAGGGTTAACCTGTGCTATGTTACTAGGCCCTGTCTCAAAAACAAAAACACAAAACAAAACAAACAAAAACTTCATGGTGGTGGTACAGAAAAAATGGAGAGAGAAAGGAGGAGGGGGGAAGGGAGAGACAAGAAAACCTAGACTGAGTGAAGAGGAGCATCACTTCATGATGAGGTTTTGTTGTTGCCTACTGGAAACACTTAAAATTGAAAACAGCTTCAGTAATGACAACCTCATGAGGATCCTAACTTACTATTTGTCATTGCTCTAACCCAGCCTGTATTCTAACTCAGGGTACTTCTGAGAGAATACATTTCTTGGGCTCAAGCAATCCTTCTGCTCTAAAGTAGCCCAGGCTACAAGTGTACCATATCACATGTTCCCAAGAAACATAATTTTGTGAATAAAATTCTTAAAATTTACACCCTGATACTATTGTGTAGATCTGTTCTATGCAGGATTCCGTTTTAGAACTGTTTGGGGAATGGTTTATATTTAATATATAATAAAGTTTCATAATCAGCTTCTATAGCATGTGTTTCTTCAGAACATAATAATCCTTTAGGGGATACTCTTGTTGACTATAGGAGCACACTGGAAGTTATAAATCACACACTGGAGCAAGGTCCCCTTACATTCAGTTTTATCTTTGTATGTCAGTTTTAGGTCTGCAGTAATAACTGAACAAGTGGCTGGATATGTGCAGTACATATTTATATGTGTTATATATATATTTATTCCACCATTAACCTTCCTTCATAATGGAAGCTGTAACACCGCAAGTGTGAAGCATGTGTCACCAAAGTCACCCCTGGAAGTCACCACAACTCCATGCCCCCTCCCCAGGAAAAGGCCCCCACCCCGTGCTTGGAGCTGCTCAGTCACTGTATGTTCATTTCCCTCTCTGCCAGGAATCCTCATCATGATGTCCATGTGCAGGGAGGTGCACGTGTATGAGTACATCCCATCTGTCCGGCAGACAGAGCTTTGCCACTACCACGAGCTCTACTACGACGCAGCCTGCACTCTGGGGGCATACCACCCACTGCTCTATGAGAAGCTCCTGGTGCAACGCCTAAACATGGGCACCCAAGCAGATTTGCATCACAAGGGCAAGGTGGTACTGCCAGGCTTCCGGGCCCTGCGGTGCCCGGTAACCAGCCCCAACAATACGTACTCTTAAAATGGAACTCTTGGGAACTGATGTGCAATAAGGTACTACTGTTGTCCTCAAAGTCACAAAAGAATACTTGAAGATAGATTTAGACAATGTGTTGTCTTTAATTGTAACTTAGTGGCCATGAGAATTCTTTCTAGTCTAAGCCATTGAGTAACTGTTACTGCTATGAATATAGAAATGGAACTTTGAAACTATCCAAGAAATAAGCAAAAAAAGGATACATAGAAAGAAAACAGATGTGTACCCATGGGCATGATACCTCTAAACATGTTAACCTCTACATCAGAGACACTCTTTATCACAGTTGGTTCCAGCCATGAGTTAGGGTGATACTACTAGTAATATGGTTTCCATCTAGAAATATCCAAGTTGGGGTCCTGTTGCTAGCATGTCACTTGTATGCATTAAGCAGCCTGGATTCTGTGATGGATGTCTGAAGTCTCACTCCACATATCTTGTCGGGCATCTGATTTTCAACCATGCCTTTGAAGCGCTGCTTCCTGGTGCTGTCTGGATGTTATGACGGAGAACCAGACCACACTTAGAAAAGTACAACTCATCCATTCCAGGAAGCCAAACCAAACCCCTGCTGCCAGCAAAGAACAGCTCCTTTGTCTTCCTGCAGCATCCCATACCTGGCCAGCAGCACTTGGCGCATGTAGGCAGCAGTCCAGGTGGTACCTGCAAGGTCATGACTGGTCAGGCATCCCTTCCCTGGCTGTTCCATTTTATGCTCCTGGCCTGCAAAGGCACCCCGTAGCTCTCATATAGCCAGTGACAAACATGCAAGGCAATTACTGCATCCCTGAAGGTCAGCCAAGGGACATCCTTGTTCCTTCCACACTATAAAGAGAGGATTTGGAGTGCTCACTCTGAGCTGCAGGGGATGCACTCCTGTAAATTCTGTATGCAGTTTCTGCAGGCTTTCTCAGCTATTGGAGACTTGCCCTTCGTGTGCTCTGAATGTCCCCAGTTCACTGACAAAAGGCTAAGAGCCCATTCTTGTTTTCATCAGTATGTTTTATGTTAACAATGTGGCAGAGCCACAGAATGGTTTCTAACAAGGTGACTATATGTGTGGCAGATGCATGGGCAGGAGCAAGTGTTCTTCCCAGCATGTTCCTGTACTGAGATTTTTAACCTAAGCTTCTGTCACTAATGCATCCTTTTGTGTGGATTTTTTGTTTGTTTTTCAATGAAGACAGTGGAAAAGAAGCGTTTTAGAATTCTTGTTTCAATATCAAATCAAAGCAACTCTCAGTGGTATAGTTAAGAGTTTTTGGCAATGACAATAGCAGTTTAATTAAATGCAACCCCCCCTTGCAAAATGTGTGGCTATCAAAATTTTGTAGGGGGAAAATATGTTTGTTTCCTGATTAGTTTTGTCCTGGCATGCTCTAAGGATTGCTTCCCAAGGAAGCATAGTTTTCTGAGACCGCCAGCTTCTGTTTGACTATTCTTCCCAGCAGAGCTGAAGCAGGCCTGCAGACATGCCCAGTGGCTTGCTACAGCAGTTAAGTGAGAAGAGTCGGGGTTATGACTGCATCTGCTGAGAGCCCATGCTGAGCTCCACAACTGAGCATCATCTGCTCACCCGGGTCCGGCCTTGCAGTCTCACAAAAGCTTGGCCTTGTCCCCATGTTGACATGTCTAATCCTGTCCGTAACTCTTGAGGACACGCTGGTGTGGGATGTGTATTTACCCCTAGAGTCCTTGGATGATTCTAGATCTTCCAGGCTTTGCCATTTTAAATGCTCACAAACATTAATAGTCTTGAAGGGGATTCACTTACTCGGCATACTTATTATCCCGGACAATCCCCTTTGGTGGCATGAGAATTTGGTTAGAGAATAACTTATTGAGGTCAGTGTAAATAGTCAAGTTCAAAAGCCCCACAAAACACTTCAAAGGCTGTTAAATAGCATTCTGTTGTCGCTCATGTACTTTTAAAAGGCGGCTCTCAGTTTTACAGGGGTTACAAGGAGACTGTAGAGCATAAAGGAAATTTAATTAAATTTTTTGAATTTATTATGGCCCTAAAGACTCTTGGGAATCAGAGTCTGTTAAACACTCAGAAAATGTGGTGCCCATATTAATATACTGTTGGCTAGGCACTCTTGTATTTAAAAGTTTAAATAGCTTAGCCTCTTGCAAATGTCACACAGTGATGGCTAATGTGATGGCTGCTTCTTGTATTAGCTAAATGGGTCCTAAGTGGCAGTATTTTGCCAGGCATTGATTAAATACTTCCACACTACGTTTACTAACCTAAAGTGAACCCCACAGCAGCCGTAGAATAGCAACACTAACCGGCCTGCCACCTCATTTCTCTCCGGCTCTGGCTCTTCCAGAACCGTGTGACTTCTTCTGTGAAGGGACTCCGGTCAGATCTTCTTGGTGCCACCAGAAGCCACCAGGTGCTGCTTCCTCGTGCCTCAGGTCTGATAGATGTCACATCCCTTTGTTTTGCAAGAAGGCATCGGCATCAGCACTCTGTTTCTTGTTGTTGCCTCTGTTCCTATTACAAAGACACCAGTGTTGTCTAAGAATAAGGACTCAGTCACGTCCAGATTCTCTCGAACTTGTGTCTCTAGCTGCTCACATGAGGCAAGAGATAATTTATGCATGATGAGGATGCTCAGACACAGACAACTCCATGGAATGGCTGACCACACCCACCACATCCTCATAGAGCTAATTCTATGGTAGACTCTGAGAGAACAAGTGGTGCATGCAGGCATCTCAGATGTGCTTTAATAGTCAAGTTAGAGATGTGAGTACACCTCCATTGCTGTGTCTTTTCCTCCCTGGTCTCTGAGCTCAAGGTGCTTTGTTTCAGAAATGGAACTTTGTGTCTTGACCCCTTGGTCCCTTCACCAGTCAACCAGGATTCTCTGGTAGTCCCATCGTTGGAACCATAACATCTAAGCAAAAGCACTGATACTATAGTCGTTAGTGTTTTCAGAATTGGATGTCAAAGGGCCTGGCTTACTCTGTCATGTTTATGAGCTACTTCATCTGCTGGAGGAGAGCTCAGCCCCCTGTTGTCAGCTGACCCTACTCAAAAATTCTGGATTAACTGGGCACAGTTTTGGGTGCATCAAGTGGAATTGTTTCCCATAAGTTATGGCATGATAAAAGACTTTGGTGTGCACCAGTGACTTGATTAAGTTGCACCAGATTTTCTTAGGACACATGATACATTAGTCTGCAGACATGTCCCATCACACTGTCCATTTCAATTTCTGGCTTTCTGATAGTTGGAATGCTACTCCATGGCCATATGTCTGATGAAGGCAGCTCTGTTTAGACATGAATAGCTTAGGTAAAATATGCCTGCATTTCAGCACGCTTTTGTATCTGGACGTTTCCATTGTGAGATTACTCCACATTCCTGTCTTTTGGGCTTTGTTTAGACACTTGGTGAGTGAGTGGTGGCATTTCTCTAGCAGCTCAAGAAAATAAAATGCAAGTTCTGGTTCTTGTTAAATGAATGAAGTCTTCAATAACAAAAGAATCTCAGCATGGTCTCTACAAGATTAGGGTAGTGACACTTGAAGAAATAAGGCTACTGATAGAGTTCTTAATCTTAGCATAAAAGTGTGCTTGTAGATAGTTATATAACTGTATATATACTTATCTACACACATGGTTGGTTTTGTATTGTCTTTTTCTTTCATCTTTATGATAAAAGCTTTACAATAAATTGTATTTTAATTATGAAGACACAAATTTTTTTAAGAGAAGGAAGCAAATATTTTGTTCTTCTGCTAAAAATAAACCAGTTTTCTGCCGTCACCCCCCCCACACCCCCTCCCATTTTACATGTCATAGCCACATTAACAATGACCAAAACATTGAAAGGTACAGTGCATCCATTACTTAAATGTTGTAATTAGTCAGAAGCCTGATGTAGCTCTGAATTTTGATGAGTGTGTTGACTGCCCATGGCTTTTACAGATTAAGGGAAGAAATACTAGTTGATTCTCTGGAAAATAAATTTTAACAAAACAAGTGCAACAGTAGTGTTAAAGCCTAAGTTTACAACACCTACCCTGTTTTGCTCTAGATAAATACTTATGGAATCTTTCTGCTGGAAACCAGTGAACTTTTTTAAAGGCTTTGGGAATTTTTTTGTATGATAATTTTTAAAACAAAATGTGTTGTCTTCAAACTAATTAATGGCTTGAGGTTTTCCAAGAAGCGCATTTTAAAAAGTGTTTGTACACATTTTAACACTTGGATATTTTCTATTTTGGTTTTGTATATTTTTATGTGTACACAGTGTACAGACTTGTAAATAAAACATGTTTTCATTTATCTAGAAGTGTCTCTATCTTAATCTGGAAAGTGCACATACAAATGAGGGAACAGCCATGCAGCCCTTACAGAGACAAATCAGGCACTGAGACACACTGGGCCTGGAAGGGGAGGAGCAGCATCAGTGACCACAGTGTGCACGGGGAGGCAGCTTGGCCAGAAACCAGAGGCGGGTCCCATTCAGAACATTCTTCCTGGTAAATAGCCGCATGCAGAAAAATGGCAGGGGTAAACATCAAGTAGAAAACACATGTTTTACGTTAGTGTGCCTTTATATTACCTTTAGAACCAAGTGTTTCGATTAATTGTATAACTCGTCTCACTTAGCAGGCTTTAAGTCACATCTGCTGCGATGTCAAACCAGCCTTGGTCTTCACACCTACCCTGGAAAGGAAAAAAATCAACTGATGAGGTCTTGAAAAGCCATTCTGGGTCATTTGTAGTTTTATGGCTAGAATGTGAAGGAATCCTCAGATCCCAACAGGTGTGAGGATTTGATGTGAAGGCAGATGTGGGCAGTTGGGGAGCTCAGGAAGCATATAGCTCACTGGGAGCAGCTGTGGTGACTTGTGAAGACCCCCTCCCCACTTTTTGCACCATTGGCCATTTGTTTTTCCTAGCAAAAGGATGGGTTTTTTTCTTCCAGATCATGAAAATCGGCCTTCCGTGCTAGGAAGAGTAGGACTGGCCAGGGGTAGCTGGTAGTTTAGCACCAAGCACATGGATAGGAGATTAGTGGTTTGAAAAAAAATGGCCCCTGAAGGGAGTGGCACTATTAGGAAATGTGGCCTTCTTGGAGTAAGTATGGTCTTGTTGGAAGAAGCATGTCACTGTGGAGGTGGACTTTCAGGTCTCAAAGGTGCTCAAGCTATGTCCAATGAGACAGTTCACTTCCTGTTGCCTGCAGATCAAGATGGAAGACCCTCAGCTGCACCTCTGTGTCTGCCTGCACACCACCACTTTTCACCATGATGCTAATGGAATAAACCTCTGAAACTATAAACCATACAATTAGATGTTTTTCTTTATAAGAGTTGCTGTGGCCATGGTATGACTAAGCAGCAACAGAAGCACTAAGACAGAGATCCTGTGCTTTGAGATCTCAATGCTGCTAGAAGAAGATGGAAAAAAAGGAGTTACATTAGTAGATGAGAGATAAAGAAGGAAACAGATGTCCCAAACTAACCAATGATTTAGAATCATTCAACTTACTAGGAACTGTACTGAGACATAGAATTTGGATTTCTTCTTACGATCTAGAGCTATGGAATCGAGTCCTTTCTGACAACCCTGGGCAGGGTCACAGCCACAGTTTTGGTCTCCAGTGATCAGAAGGGGAAAAGACTCGTACTTCAGGCACTGCAGAATGCTTTGCTGCAGAGCCAGGGTGTGTAAAGGCTAGGTACACTTCCCCCACTCTCTTTGCTTAGAGGAGGAAATGAAGAACAGCTAGGGCCAGGAAACAGGAAGTAAAAAGTAAGTGTTGGGCTCTCTGATGTTACTTTCAAACACAAATCATTAGTTCAGAAACAGACCTACCTCCTCACTAAAGACACATGAGCTAACCAAGCTGACTGCAATGAAGTGTTCCACCAAGAGGGCCAATGTACAGACCTTGATGGGGACGCCCATTTCCCTAGGATGATTCTCCTGCCCCTTCATTCATTGAGACCTTAACAATGGAGGTCTCGTAGCCAATCCAACCTAAAACACTATTTTCTGCTTCATTACAGAACATAGTTGCTGACCCCTATCATAAATACAATCTATCCAGAACATGGTTTACATACAGTTCTCACAAAGCCATTTTTCAGGGCAGATATTCTGTTACCTCCAGGAAAGGTGGGGGGGGGTCTAAGAGGTTAAGCCATCTGCCAACTGTCACATAGCCAGGAAATTACATGGAGGCCTCTAGTCTTCGATTTCAGAGTGCATGCTGGGAGCTATGGCACCAGTCTTTCAAAGCAGCCCCTCCCCGAGCTTTTGCCCTAATCCTTAACAGTCCCACTGCACAGCAAACCAAAAACTCATTTTTGCAAGGACTTTACTAACTCTACACAATGACATTTCAATCAGTTGAAAGACAGGGTGTTCAACTTTATGTACCATAAAGCCACTGTTACTGGTACCTTCTAGGATTGTTTACGTGTACACTGGTGTTAAGACAATGGGGAAATTGCCAATGATGCATTTCTGAGAACATATCCCCATCATTAAACAAATGTGACTACTTTGTATATTGCGGAGAAGTTGTGCTTTGGAATTTATGGGTAATTGGACTTTCCCAGTTCTATGAATCCCCAGAGCCCTGAGGTGGATCTGAACTACATATGCCAGTCAAGTACACATCTTACTCTGTTGTAAGAAGCTGGACTCTCATTGCCATAGCCTAATGAAAAGTAACTCCATGTGTTGCTGTCAGAAGGTCACCATTGAGTGACACTCCATAGCTCTTTCTCTCTATCCTAACCGAACTCTAACATACTCAAGAAACAAGTCAAGCAAACTTGAAGATTGAGGTTCCAGCTTAGACACTTTTCCAGATCAGAAAAGTCAACATGTGACAGAAATGAGTGATGCTGAAATGCAGTACCTTCGGTTCTCACTAACTTCATTATTGTCTGAGGGTGGAGGAAAATACAATAACAAAAGGGATTAAAACAGTAACCCATGTTGTGGTCGCCTGTTTTAAAAGAGGCTGGTGAAGATATTAGAGCTTGAAAGGGAGATCTGTGGGGCTCTGGAAGAACCTAGAGGTGGACATTCTCCTGAGTCCACAACACCTGGGCTCAGTACATAGAGAGTCAATGGCAGTTGATGAGGTAGCTGAGATCCACTACCAAGCCAATCTGCTTTTGAAGAAGATCCTGCAAGGATCATAAATACCTTTCTTTCACAACCAAATCCAGATATAGACCCAGAATTTCCACGTAGTCTTGGAGTTAAAAACACCCAGAGAGGTTGGAAACGATCATTTTTCCAACACAAGGTTAAAGACTGACACATTCCAAGCTTAGATAGAATTTGGAACAACACTGAGATTAACATGGCCCCTGTACAAAGATAATGTTCAGATTACTGTAAGATTCCGTTTTGTGTAGCAAAGAGTGTTAAGCGAAATAGCCATTCATAGGCACCAGTTGCTTCTATTATATGTAGAAGCCGAAATGCTTGATCTATGTAGAGAGCACAAGAGAGGTAGAAAAGGCTGGGAAAGGGTAAGGCATGGGGTACCAGAGTACAGACAGATAGAATAAGATTGTATGTGCTATGCACTCACTGTAGGGAGGGTAGAGCTCACAACTGCTGCAGCTGCTTGAAGGATACCAACATATGCACAAAATAAATGGAAGTAAAAGAAACCCTGGTCTGGTAATGCAAAGGCTCCATCTGCCTACTATACACACATCTAGAGTGTATAGCAGTGGAAGAGAAAGAACATCTCTGCATCATCCACCAGCTCACTGAAGGCAGAATTCATCTTAAAGGACCATCTTCCTGGAAATCTGACTCAGGGACTGCAGACTGGTGGTCTTGTCCTCACAGATGGGCTGTCCGGAAAGATGACACAGCTAATGTTAATTGCCTAGTCACCCAGATGGTTTTCTGTCCTTCGGATCTCAAAAATAAAATGACTATTCCTGAGAAATACCTCAACTTCTCCAGGCTTTCCTTCTCAGTGGTCAACTCATGACATATTACACCATCAGCAGGCTTGTCTTTCTCAGTCTAGGTTTCTTCACTCAGGATGATTTTTTTCTACTTCCATCCATTTACCTTCAAATTTCCTGGTGTCCTTGTTTTTAATGACTGAGTAATACTCCATTGTGTAAAGGCACCAAGTAATCCAACTAAAAATGGGGTACAAATCTAAACAAAATTCTCAGCAGAAGAATTTCAAATGACCAACAAACACTTGAGGAGATGTTCAACATCCTTAGCCATCAGGGAAATGTTAATCAAAATGACTGAGGTTCCATTTTACACCTATCAGAATGGTGTGGATGGTCAACCACTCACACTAAGAATGCCAGGAAAAGGTAGTAGGATATTTATTCAGATAGAAAGAAGTAACTTACATGGGAAGCTGGGAAGCCCTTCGAAACGTGGCCAGCATCCAAGGAGAGAGTGTCAGGAGGCCCTCTCTCCATTTATCCCCTCTCCCTCACTTACTGTAGCCACGCCCATTGGGGCGTAGCTAAAGCTGCAGGTAGTCTCTCCCTATAATTCTGCTTTAAGTCTAAAGAGAAGATTTAGACTTGATACAAAAACTCAAACATATACAACATATGTACAAAGAAGATGATAAGCAATTATAATCTACTTATATCCTACCCTAGGTAATCTATCCATCTAAACCCAAGAAGAGGGTTTGAAAGAGATTCCCAAATCTTGACCACCACCTTCCAACCCCAGCCCTAAATAATTGAAAACTAACACTAACAGGTGTAAACTATCCTGTAATATCAACAGTAGAGAAAGGGCATAGTATTCTCAAGATTACTTCCTGCTGAAATAGGATGACAACAATCTCATGGGAACCTGTAGGAAGAAAATGTTAGTATAACAAGAGTCTTAAATAGATTAAATAGTCTCTGTTTGGCAGGAGATGCTTGATTGAAGTTCTTGACTGAAGTTCTAATGTTAGTTGAAGCTCTTGTCTGAAGCTCTGGCCAGATTGTAGAAGGTGCATCGTATCAGTTCATTGCTCTGGAGTCATGTTGAGCGATGTAGTCCCAAACCAGTTTCAGGATGGTACTTGTCAGGTGGAGTCAATGATGTGGGGCCCCACTTTTGGAAGTCAGAACTGCTTATGGCAGTTCCTCAGAAAACTGGGAATCAACCTACCACAAGACCCAGCTATACCACTCTTGGGCATATAGCCAAAGGATGCTCAATCATATCACAAGTATACTGGCTCAACTATGTTCATAGCATAGTTGAGCCAGTAATAGCAAGACCCTGGAAACAGCCTAGATGTCCCTCAACCAAGGAATGGATCAAGAAAATGTGGTACATTTAAACAATGGAGTATTACTCAGCTGTTAAAAGCAAGAAGGGTTAGATTTTTAAAGTTGGCAACAGACCTAATAGGCATTTCTGAAAAAAAAAAAGACATTCCAATGGCAAAGAGGCAAGTAAAAGTCAGCTCAGCATTATTGGAGTGAGACCATGCATATCCAAAGCACAGTGCAATACAACCTCATCAAAGTTGAATGTGTATTATGGAAAAGAAAAGCACTGCTGGCAAGGCTAGAGCAAAAATAAAAGCCCTGTACTCTGCAGCTGGGAATGCAGGTTAATGCAGCCATTATGGAAAACAGTATGTGAGTTCCCAAAATAAACACTGAATGACCATATAATCAGATTTATATACAAGAGGCACGAAACCAGCATGTCAAAGAGACCACTGCACACTCTGATGCTTCCCATAGCACTAGTCAATGGTAGCCAGGGAATAGTCTAAATATCCATCAACAAATGCATGGATGAGGGAAATATGACATCTATCATACATGTGCATTTACATATACATGCGGTGGAATTACCATTCAGCCTAGAAGTCCTGTCATTTGGAACAACATGGCTAAAAATAGAAGACATAATACTGACTGTCGTATAGCTGTTTCCTCCCAGATTAAAGCCTTCCAACTTGGAGGGAAGCTTGCTAAGACACACGACATTAGAAAGGATGATAAATAACATGATTCACTAAGCCATTCCCAAGTGTATACACTTATCTAGTGTGGATTAAGTCCCATTCTCCTAAGAACTGCATCGGAATTCCTGGCTACAGAAGTACTTGAATAGAAGCATGAGATCTCTCAAAACTCCACTCCCTGCATGAGGGCAAGAACGCTGGCAATTATTTCTCAAAGCAGAATTTTTCTGTATTTGAAAGTTAAGGATTTTCAGTTCAAGAAAAAACTGCCCAGTCTCAGTAAGAACAGGACACTTGGTGGTATTTTGTCTTGTCCCGTCAACTTCCTTACTCCCCAGCCCCATGACTGTCCTCAACAATGACAGCCTCGTACTGCAGGAGTTGGGTAACCAGAAGGCCAGGAGCCACCAGAGAAGTCAGAACAGTTTTTGCAAAGGCCGTGGAAGCTGTGTCTCCACTTCCACCAGCTCACTGAGAAGTACCATCCTCTCCAGTTCCTACACCTGACTCAGCTCTCGGGAAGCAGCCTCACCCATGGAGTGTTTGATGATACCAAGTAGCAACAACTGTAAAACTCCAGAGCTATTGTAAAGGCATTACTTGGTGAACATAGAGATCCACTAGGAAACGAGATGCCTGTTGTCATCTTAGAATTGGCCGTGTGCATTACTGTGAATCTTCCAGCCACATGTGTGCCTTTATGGAAGTCTGACAACGAGTTGAATGCTGTGGACATGCCTCAACACACACAGACACCCTTCCATGCACAAAGGCTGTTTTTATTGAACTTCTGATTTTTTAATTTTAGTCTTTCTTCTGGTTCCTTAGCTCCAAATGTTTTTTTTTATAATTGTTGAGATTATAATGTAATTGCATCATTTTCCTCCCTCCACCCCTGTCATGCACTGCTCCCTCTTGCTCTCTCTCTCTCTCTCTCTCTCTCTCTCTCTCTCTCTCTCTCTCTCTCTCTCTTTCTCTTTCTCTCTCTTTCTCTCTCTCTCTCTCAAATTCATGATCTCTCTTTTTTTCTTGGTTTTTCAAGACAGGCTTCTTTTTGTAGCCTTGGCTGTCTGCCACCCAAGTGCTGGGATTAAAGGCGTGTGCCACCACTGTCTAGCTTTATAAATTGTTTTACGTGTGTGTGTGTGTGTGTATGTTTGTGAGTATGTTTGTGTGTGTACAAATTGCTCAGAGGAAAGAATGAAGTGAAAGCCCAAATTTGTCTATTTCCTCATACCATACATAAAATTTAGCTCAAAATACAAACCACGTTGTCTTGAAGAAAACATGAAATCTTCATTATATGCAATATATTACAAGCATACATATATATACATATATTTGCATATGTGTGTATATTTGCATACATGCATATAATAATATAAGCAAGAAAATAGACTGAACATTATCAAAATTTAAAACATTTATGCTTTAAAGAATATCATCAAAGTAAAAGAGCAGGCCACCAAGTGGAGATAATTCACAGATCACATGTTGGTAGAAGTCAAGAACTCTTAAAGCTAAATGATAAACAGTCAAGAAGCCTTATTTAAATGGGAAACTGTTTCAAGTAGATACATCTACAAATAAGACGTAAAAACCATACCCAGCATCATCACTGTATCACGGTAAACCCTTGGAATCACATTGATGAACAGAAAGCCAGAGTCCAGTCCCTGTCTCTCAAACTACTACATGAGCTTGGAGCATGGCCATGTCTACGGTTGATTTTTCCTCATGGGTAACACAGAGATAACCACAGCTCCCACCGAATTCATCGTTATGATTATGGATTTAGACAGTGCTGATGAATCATGTAACATTGTGCGTTGCCTGATGAATATGAATTGTCAGTGGTCTTGCCACTATTGTATGTTGATCTCTTAAGTCTAATATATCTAATTAATCAATAGAAAGGAACTTGAATAGAGGTTAGATAGCCAAGTCTTCAGAAACATTCATCTCGTTAGCGTTTAAAAGAACTCAAGTTGTCCCAGACTCCCTAAACAAACCCAGGGAATCATCTACCTTAAAATGAAATAAAAAAAACTGCCCGACACTTTCTCTTCCTCTCCCCCACACCCGTTACATTTCTACAGTTACTTCCAAGAGGTCTGTGACTGACTGCCCCAATGAAGTCGAAGTCTGTACAAACACCCCAGGGAAAATACAACCAAGAACAATGGGTGTGACCATTTGCTTTTCACTCTATTTGCACTTCCCTGCTCTAGCAGGGATACTGTTTATTGCTTCAAAGCAAACTGCCACGGGTGAAAATAGGTCTCTTTCTCACACCGTTGCTGTTTGTTTAGGAAATCTACCTACTTATCTCTCTTGAGCATCCTCACTGGTGGAAGGCACTGGCCAGCAGGTTTAAGCTGGTCTCATTCACACCTCTGCCAGGAAGTGCTACCTGCTGAGTGGCTTCTCTCACTTCTCTGTGGGACTATCTGGGCAGCTTCTTCCTAAGTGATGTCCAGATGGAGTTCTGAGGGGACAAAACCTAAGATCCAGAGCTCACATACATCTTTCAACATTCAAAGTGAGTGAGGGGAAAAATGGTACCTTATGCATGGGTGGGGACAAAGTGGCATTTGTCAAAGGACTGGCACCCAGAATAGAGGGGAAATGTGGCAATCGGACAGTTAACTCTTGGCCCTCACTTGTTCTGTTACAAGCCTGTATCCATACCTAAACCACTATATTTTCCCATAATATTTTCTTAATAGGAAACTACTGTTACCTTCTGTTTTCTGGTGCTATGACACAGTATCACAAAAGAAAAGGAGGAAAGAAAGAAAGAGGGGACATTGGGCAGTGGTGGTGCATGCCTTTAATCCCAGCACTCTGGAGGCAGAAGCAGGTGGCTCTCTGTGAGTTCAAGACCAGCCTGGTCTACAAGAGCTAGTCCTGGGACAGGCTCCAAAAGCTACAGAGAGAAACCCTACCTTGAAAAACAATCAAGAAGAAAAAGAAGGAAGGGAAAGAGAAAGAAAGCAAGATTTATTTCTGTAGTTGTGTAGGCTGAGAAGTCTAAGCTCAACATGTTAGCATTTGAAAGGGCCTTCTAGTGGTTATATAACACAGAAGAACGGAACACATGGTGAGTGAGCAGGGCACAGAGGAGTGGAGTGTAAGAGAATACACTTCTATAACCCACCACGGGCAGATCGTTCCCACAAGAATGTGATGGAATGGGGCGAGAGGCTGAGTGTGCATTACCTAGTCTCTCTGACAGACGCCATGTGAGTTAAACTGCAAAGGAAGGCCAGACAATAGCCCAGTGCCATAGGAAAATCACAGAGCAGTCCACGACAGCCCACGGTTGTTAGTGACAGCAAAAGAACCTACTTGGTTCTTGGCACCACAGAGATGAAGCCTTGTACCTCATTTCCCCAGCATCCTCACACAAACAGCATGGCTTCCTAAAGGCAACTGGAGGGGGTGGGTGAAGCTCTGATCAGATGTGTGATTCCTAACCCACTTCCCAGCAAGCCTCCAAGGTC